AACATGGTCCATGGGGTCGCGATGGGTCAGACATGACTTCGCAACTAACAACAACAGCATCAGAATTTACAAAACAGATAGAAGGAGGAGAAAAAGGATCCTAAAAATTTAGCTTGTGTATAAAATAAACCCTGCCCTGAAATTATTTAAAATAAAAAAAACCTTCTTCCTTGGCTCTTTATCAAAAAAAAAGAAGATTCAAATATTGAACGGTGACAAAGAACAGCAGTGAATTTGTTCCAAGTCTTGTCCATCCATGATCTAATAGGTAGTTTAAAGATTCAATCAGTAACACATCTCATTTCTTTTCAAAAGAAAGGTCAATACAACAGGCAGGATTGCCACGGAGAGCAAGGGTGATGCTAGACTAGACGATGTTGAAAAAAATCAAGATGGTGGCCAGGATTAGGACATCAAACATCTAGCCTGCATGTATAAAAAGGATGGATCTTTGATTGTGTGGATGCAACCCACATCCTCTCTGATACTTACCTCAACTAGGATACTTCCTCTTGCTAGATTTTTGGGTCTAGTTGAATGTTTCTCAACCTCAGCCATTAGAACAGGGATAGGCAACCTTGGCTCTTTTTTGACTCGTGTACTTCAACTCCCAGAATTCCTGAGCCAGCATGGCTTAGCTTGGAAACCTCTCCCTTTCCCCTCAGCGTGGCTGGCTCAGGAATTCTGGGAGTTGAAGTCCACAAGTCATAAAAGAGCCAAGGTTGCCTACCCCTGGACTAGAAGATGTGTGGACTTCAACTTCCAAATTCCCCAGCCAGCATGGCTGGCTGGAGAATTCTGGGAATTGAAGTCCAAACACCTTGAAGCTTGGAACCGTGTCTTTTTGTCCCCTAAGGCTAAATTCCTATATCCCAGGAGAAATGAAATTGAGAAGAGTAATCTTAGCTGTATTAGTGAATTCTTAGCCACATTAGTGAATATCAATTGAATAGGGGTCGCCCGTAAAGATTGATTTTAACAGAGTAACAGAGTTGGAAGGGACCTTGGGGGTCTTCTAGTCCAACCCCTTGTTCAGGCATCTTTTAATGCAGTGGTTCTCAACCTTTTTAATGCTGCGACCCCAACCGGTCATAAGTCGAGAACTACTCAACCGGTCGTAAGTCAAGGGCTACTCAACTGGTGCAGCACCGTTTGCAGAATGGGACTTTTGGCGGGCTCAGCAGGGCAGAGACAGCTTGGACAATTCCTATTGGCTTTTGAAAGCCAATAGAATTAGACTCTATTCAAGAGAGTCTATTCTATTGGCTTTCAAAAGCAAATAGAATAAAAGGGAGTAGCACAGTAAGGAAAAAGGGAAAAAAGTGGCGGACTGCGTTGTTTGGCGACCCCCGTGAAATGGTCATTCGACCCCAAATGGGGTCCCGACCCACAAGTTGAGAACCACTGTTTTAATGGCTGAGATTCACAAACATTGCCCGCCGAATCCACCTGGTCTTCTCAATCTTTCTCTGGGGTTTTCATTTAACCTTTGATGCTTAGTGGACAGGAGGTTGCACATTCCCACGAACCTTGTAGATGTCTCTTTTCCTTCTTCTCCTCCTGCAGATACCCCCAGGTTTTTAATAGCTCCCAGTGATCAGACCGTGACTGAGGGTCAAAATGTGGATTTGCCCTGCTCTGCAGATGGACATCCTCGCCCGATCATATCTTGGACAAAAGAAGGTATTTCCTTGGCATTGCTGTCTTCTGTAAGGATTTACAGTCATAGAAACATGAGCTGAAAGAGTCCTCCAAGATTGCGTTTCTTAACCTCAACAATTTTAACAGGATAACAAGAGTTGGAAGGGACCGTGGAGGACTTCTAGTTCAACCCCCTGCTCAAACATTTACATCACCACGATGTAAAAAAGATGTTGAGACTAATCAAGGAGAGAAGCAACCTAGAACTAAGGAGAAACTTCCTGACAGTGAGAACAATTAACCAGTGGAACAACCTGCCTCCAGAAGTGGTGAATGTTCCAACACTGGAAGTCTTTAAGAAGAGACTGGACAGCCATTTGTCTGAAATGGCATAGGGTTTCCTGCCTGAGCAGGGGGTTGGACTAGATGACCTCCAAGGTCCCTTCGAACTTTTGTATTATTATTATTATTATGGATCATCGCACAGTCAGCCAGTTGTTCAGACTGGATTTGGCATTTTGTCTACCTATCGAGTCCTTACCCAGGACCTGGGATAGGCAGATGTGGATATTTGATGGTATTACAGATATCGTCGCAGGATGGAAGCAGTTCCTAGTAAGGCCGCCTTTTGCAATTGACTAATGACGAATTTGTCAATGCCAATGGTTTTCAAGTGGTGCTCCAGTTGTTTTGGGATTGTACCCAAGGCGCCTATGACTGTTGGTACTACCCTTGCTTGCTTTTGCCACAGTCTTTCTATTTCTATTTGTAGGTCTTTGTATTTTGTTATCTTCTCCAGTTCTTTCTAGTCTATTCTGCTGTCTCCAGGCACTGCCACATCCACTATCCAGACTTTTTTGTCTTTCTTATCGACAATTGTTAATAAGTATGGGAGTGTTATGTGAAGGTGATTGTCATGTTTGAATTATGAAGTAAAAGGAGCAGTTTAATTTTATCATTTTCTATGACTTTCTCTATTTTATGATCCCACCAATTTTTGCTTACAGGCAAATTATATTTTTTGAAGATCTTCCAATGCACCATTGTTGCTACTTTGTCATGCCACTGCTTGTAATCAGTTTGTGCAATCTTCTTGCAACAGCTTACCAAGTGGTCCACTGTTTCTTCATCTTCTTTGCATAGGCTGCACTTACTGTCTGTTGCTGTCTTCTCAATTTTGACTTTGTATGCATTTGTCCTTAAGGATTGGTCTTGTGCAGCCAGAATTAGTCCCTCGGTCTCTTTCTTCAATTTTCCTGTTCTTAGCCATTGCCAGGTCTTGTTATTATCTGCTTTCCCAGCTATTTTTTTTCATGTATTGGCCATGTAGTGCTTTGTCTTCCCATGCCTATTCTGTTCTTCATTTGGTCTTTCTTGTAGGCCAGTTTGGTCTCTCCAGTAGTTAGTAAGCCTTCCTGATATACTAATTTCAGTGCATCTTCATCATTGTTATTCAGATATTCTTCCAAAGCCATTTTTTCTTCTTCAACCATCTGATGTACTTGTAGCATTCCACGCCCACCTATTTGCCTTGGTAGATAAAGTCTATCAATGTCAATGCGTGGATGAAGGGCGTGATTCATTGTCATGTTTCTACTGAATACTGGTCTATTTACTAGGAACTTGATTTATCCAGTCATGTGGCAGGAGATGTCAAATGCCTTTTGTAGTCAATCCATGCCACAATAAGGTTATTATTATTATTATTATGGATCATCGCACAGTCAGCAAGATGTTCAGACTGGATTTGGCATTTTGTCTACCTATCGAGTCATTACCCAGGACCTGGGATAGGCAGATGTGGATGTTTGATGGTATTACAGGTATCGTCGCAGGATGGAAGCAGTTCCTAGTAAGGCCGCCTTTTGCAATTGACTAATAGCGAATTTGTCAATGCCAATGGTGTTCAAGTGGTGCTCCAGTTGTTTTGGGATTGCCCCCAAGGAGCCTATGACTATTGGTACTAACCTGCTGCTTTTATGCCACAGTCTTTTCTATTTCTATTAGTAGGTCTTGATTTGTTATCTTCTCCAGTTCTTTTTCTCTTCTATTCTTGTATCTCCAGCCTGCCACATCCACTATCCAGACTTTTTTGTCTTTCTTATCGCACAAATTGTTAAGTATGGGTGGTGTTATGTTGCAGGTGCTTGTCTGTTAGAAATTCTGAAGTCCCAGAGCAGTTTTAAATTTATCATTTTTCTATGGACTTCTCTATTTTATGATTCCCCACCAGTTTTTTGCTTACAGGTAGGTAAATGAATATTTTTTGCAGATCTTCCAATGCCACCATTGTTGCACTTTGTCATGCCGCGTGCCTTCTGTAATCAGTTTGTGCAATCTTCTTGCTAACAGCTTACCAAGTGATCCACTGTTTCGTCAGCTTCTTTGCATAGGCGGCACTTACTGTCTTTTGCTGTCTTCTCAATTTTGACCTTGTATGCATTTGTCCTTTAGGCTTGGTCTTGTGCAACCAGAATTAGTCCCTCGGTCTCTTTCTTCAATTTTCCTGCTCTTAGCCATTGCCAGGTTTTATTATTATCTGCTTTCCCAGCTATTTTGTTCATGTATTGGCCATGTAGTGCTTTGTCTTCCCATGCCTCTATTCTGTTCTTCATTTGGTCTTTCTTGTAGGCCAGTTTGGTCTCTCCAGTAGTTAGTAAGCCTTCCTGATATACTAATTTCAGTGCATCTTCATCATTGTTCTTCAGATATTCTTCCAAAGCCATTTTTTCTTCTTCAACCATCTGATGTACTTTGTAGCATTCCACGCCCACCTATTTGCCTTGGTAGATAAAGTCTATCAAGGTCACTGGTGAATGAAGGGCATGATTCATTGGCATATTTTTCTTGGTTCGTCTGCTATCCATGGCTTTGAGTTCGCTTGAAGTCCCCCAGTCCACTATTCCACTGTGTACCTAATAACTGGGGTTGCCCAGGTGTTGATTGCCTTTATGGTATTTCCTCCATTGAGTTTGGACTTTAAGATCTTCTTCACTCTCTTGATGTATTCACCTCTAATCTTTTTCTTGACTTCAGTGTGCGTGATGTTGTCAGCTTGAAGGATACCCAAGTAGTTGTAGTACTCTTCCTCATCCAGACTCTTAATGTATTTTCGCTGGCCGGCATCTTGATTTTCCTTCAGTTTTCATGATTTTTTCATTGTTTGATAGTAAGTGTGGCACATTGTACCAAGCCAAAACTGCCCATTACAATATTCTTAGGCTTATACTATACGGACAGTGTGAGCAGCGAGTCTATTTCAAGGGAATTTTGGGTTTTGTTTTTCCTACAAGCTTCAGATCATCCATATAAAGGAGGTGGGATAGTCTGGCAGATGTTTTTGATGTTTGATAGCCATGTCCTGAGTTATTCAGTATTGTTGACAGAGGAAACAGTGCAATAACAAATAGTAATGGTGATACTGAATCTCCTTGAAATATTCCTCTCTTGATATTAACCTCTCCCAGCCTCTCACCATTGATCTGCAACTGTGTTTTCCATTGTGCCATCGATCTTTGCACAAATTTTCTGATGTTTCTACTGACTCCTGTTATTTCTAGGCACTTTATTATCAAATCATGTGGCAGAGAGTCAAATGCCTTTTTGTATGTAGTTCAATCCACGGCCACATTTTTTTTGTTTTCCCAGGGTGGTCTTCCTTCTCTTGCAGTTTTCCTCTAAGATCATTTGTCTATTAGGAGGCGAGTGATCTTCTGTTCCTCTGCTGTTGGGGCCGGTTTTCCTTTCTGCTCAGGTGGAAAGAGATTGTTTTCAAGTAGATGCTGTTGCACTGCATCAGCTACTACACCAGTTAGTAATTTGAAAGTTGTTGGTAAGCAGGTAATTGGCCTGTAGTTACCTGGTGTTGCCCCTTTTGCTGGATTTTTCATTATTATTATTATTATTATTATTATTATTATTATTATTATTATTATTATTATTATTATTATATTAACAATCCATTCTCTTCAACTGGTGCCAACTGGGTAGATAACACTCCTGTTTCCAAGGAGTCATCCAGGTCACGGTTGCTCCAAAGGTACTTTTTTCAAAAGGCAACTGGACTTTGTTTTTCCTTGAAGACTGTCAGAACTGAAGAAGCTTCTTGGATGAGAAGGGAAATATCTTCCAGGACAAACAAGGTCCAGTTCACTTTTGAAGAAGCACCTTTGGGACTTGTCCATCCTTTGTGAAGTTCAGAGTTTATGGAGGAGTTTCTCCAACAGCACCATGATTTCATTCCTCTTGTTCCTAGGTGGTCCATTACCAAACAGTTGGAGATACAGTGTCCTCTCCACGGGAACCCTGCAGATGGTTCAAGTGTCCCTTCATGATCAAGGCCACTACGAGTGCCATGCCATCAATGCAGTTGGAGCCCAGAGATTTTCCGTGAGCCTCAAGGTCACCCCACGTGGTAAGCGCATACACAAAATTCTTGCCGATCTTGTCTTCCCCATCCGGTTGACTTCCTTCCGCCCTTGAACCCGGTCTTCCCAAATCTAGTGTTCTCCAGAAGGTTTGAAGTTCAACGCTCATGGCCAACCCATCTGGAAGACACACCTTCCCTTAATTTCTGTTCCCCATGAAATACAGAATACAGTGTAACAGAGTTGGGAGGGGCCTCAGAGGTCATCTAGTCCAATCCCCTGCTCAAGCAGGAGAACCTACAGTGATGGCGAGCCTTTTAGAGACCGAGTGCCCAAACTGCAACCCAAACTCACTTATGTATTGTCGGGTGCCGAATGGGCGTGGCCCATTGGATGGGCGTGGCTGCCATGGTAACGGCAGACTGGGTGGGACTAAAAAGTTCAATCAATCAATTCCAACTTTGTGAGATCTTTTTTTCCCCCCGCAAGAAGTTGAAATTGATTGATTGACTGAACCTTCTTTTTTTGCACACGGCAGTGGAGGCCTAAAGCGAAAAGATCTTATAGAACCCAACTTAAAGCCTAGGACTGGGGTGATGGCGTGCGTGCTCACAGAGAGGGCTCTGTGGCACGTGTGCCATGGGTTCGCCATCACAGACCTACACCGTTTCAGACAAACGACTGTCCAATCTCTTCCTAAAAACCTCCAGTCATGGAGCACCCGCAACTTTTGGTGGCAAGTCATTCCACTAGCTCAGTGGTTCTCAACCTGTGGGTTGGGACCCTATTTGGGGTCGAACGACCATTTCACGGGGGTCGCCAAACAATGCAGTCTGCCATTTTTTCCCCCTTTTTCCTTAGCTGTGCTACTCCCTTTTATTCTATTGGCTTTTGAAAGCCAATAGAATAGACTCTCTTGAATAAAGTCTAATTCTATTGGCTTTCAAAAGCCAATAGGAATTGTCCAGGCTGTCTCTGCCCTGCTGAGCCGGCCAAAAGTCCCATTCTGCAAACGGTGCTGCACTGGTTGAGTAGTCCTCGACTTACGACCGGTTGAGTAGTCCTCAACTTACAACCGGTTGGGGGTTGCGGCATTAAAAAGGTTGAGAACCACTGCACTAGCTAAACCGTGATACCGTGCTTTCGCCCCCCCACTCCCCACCCCTTTGTCTTTCCTAAACAGTTATGCCTGTATTTCTTCATCCACCTCAAGATACCATTGCAGAAGTCGGGCAAGACATTGAGATCCCTTGTACCGCTCACGGGGATCCACAGCCAACGATAACGTGGGCGAAGGTCTGATGGTTTATCACTTAGTACAAGCAAGAATGCCTTTTGTGTAAAGGTGGGGAACACTGGGTGTGGGCTACTGATGTGAAATGGGCAGCCTTATTTTGAAGGCGGAAAGAAAATTCTCTTTGCCTTTGTATTGCATTTATTTCATTTATATCCTGCCTTCCTTATATTGCTTTTATAAACAACTCGAGGCGGCAAACATACGTGATCCTCCTTCTTCACTCTATTATTTCCACAACAACAATAACAACAACCCTGTGAAGTGGGTTGGGCTGAGGGAGAAGAATTGGCCCAAAATCATTGTGCCTGAGGCGGGACTAAAATCACAAGTCTCCTGTGATTGGCCCAAAGTCATTCATGGCTGAGGCGGGACTAGAACTCAAAAGTCTCCTGTGATTGGCCCAAAGTCATTCATGCCTGAGGTGGGATTAGAACTCATGTTCTCCTGGTTTCTAGTCTGGTACCTTCAGAAAAACTAGCTGGGGAATTCTGGGAGCTGAAGTCCACACATCTTACAGCTGTTGAGGTTGAGAAACTCTGATAAAAAGAGAAATATTTTGAGGCTTCTTGAATGTTACAATGCCTTTGGTGACATCTAGTGGTCACATCCAGAAAACACAATTGCCAGCTTGTCAGGGCTGCATGACCTGGCTGTTTTAAGGTGGCTGCTTTGAATAAAATAGAGCTGGAAGGGACCTTGGAGGTCCTCTAGTCCAGCCCCCTGCTCAAGCAGGAGAATGTACACCATCTCAGACAGGTGACTGTCTAGTCTCTTCTTAAAAACCTCGTGATGGAGCACCCACAATGTCTGAAGGCAAGCTGTTCCACAGGTTAATTGTCCTCACTGTTAGGAAATTTCTCCTTAATTCCAGGTTGCTTCTCTCTTTGGTCAGTTTCCAACCATTGTTTCTTGTCCTGCCCTCTGGTGCTTTGGAGAATAATTTGATCCCCTCTTCTTTGTGCTGGCCCTATTTCAGTTTAATGACACTTCTAGTCCAACCCCCTGCTTAGGCAGGAAACCCTACACCATTTCCGACAAATGGCTGTCCAGTCTCTTCTTAAAAACCTCCAGTGCTGGAGCATTCACTGCTTCTGGAGGCAGGTTGTTCCACTGGTTAATTGTTCTAAATGTCAGGAAATTCCTCCTTAGTTCTAGGTTGCTTCTCTCCTTGATTAGTTTCCATCCGTTGCTTCTTGTCCTGCCTTCAGGCACTTTGGAGAATAGCTTGACTGCCTCTTCTTTGGAGCAGCCCCTGAGATATCATGTACCCCCCCCCCCGCTATCATGTCCCCCCTCGTCCTTCTCGTCATTAAACTAGACATACCCAATTGCAGAAACTGTTCTTCATGTGTTTCGTCCTCCAGTCCCCTAATCATCTTTGTTGCTCTTCTCTGTACTCTTTCTAGAGTCTCAGCATTAGCATCATTTCATTTAATGACTGTTCAAAGCTACAACGGCACTGAAAAAAAGTGACTTATGACCATTTTCACGCTGACAACCATTGCAGCATCCCCCTGGTCACGTGATCAAAATTTGGGCACTTGGCAACTGGTTCACATTTACAATGTCATCATGTGATCTCCTTTTGTGACCTTCTGACAAGCAAAGTCAAGGGGGGGGGAAGCCAGACTTACTTAACAACCGTGTGTCTAACTTAACAACTGCAGTGATTCACTTAACAACTGTGGCAAGAAAGGTCGTAAAATGGGACAAAACTCACTTTAATAAGTGTCTGGCTTAACCAGAGAAATTTTGGGCTGAGTTGTCGTAAGTCGAGCATTACCTGTATTTACAATATAGATAGTCCTATAATGCAGGGCTTTTCAACCCGTGGTACGGGTAACACCTGTGGTACATTGGCACCTGGCAGGTGGTACACGACCATCCTAGAAAAGTGGTAGCAGGGGAGGGGAATGAGCTGAACCGGTGGCAGCACCGCACAAGCCTGAGCGAGAGATGGCTGGAGCTACAGGGCTGTCAGGGCTCAGCGGAAGCGCCAGGATCAGTGCTGCTTTCCAGCTGATCAGTGCTTCTTCGGGATTGTCAGGGCTCAGCAGATGCGCCAGGATCAGTGCCAGGTTCCAGCTGGAGCTCGGCGCTGATCCTGGTGCTTCTGCTGAGCCCAGAAGAAGCGCCAATCAGCTGGAATGTTGCAGCCTCTCCAGGGTCTTGTGATTTACATTCAGATGTTTGGCAACTGATTCATATTTATGACAGTCCCAGTGTCCCAGGGTCATGTGAAGTGACCAAAACCTGCTGCAACCACCCAGCAGATGGGGGGAATAAAAACCAAACACCCTCCCACCCCACCCCCGCTGCCAATCCTCAACAGAAATGCTCACAACAATGAAAACCTCGGGCAGGAGGAAGAGCGCTGCCGGGTGGGCAGGCAGGTGTCTTGCTCGGCTGTGGCTTGGGGGGCACTTTTTTCAGTGCCATTGTAACTTTGAACAGTCACTAAGCAAACTGTTGTAAGTCGAGGACTACCTGTACTTTATCACTTTTTTCCTTTTTTTTTTTGTCATCAAGTTTTTGACACCTTGCTAGGCGACTGGTGGTCCTCGGATGTTGCCATATGCTAAAAGTGGTACAATGGGTGAGAAGGTTGAAAAGCCCTGCTATAATGCAATAAAAAAAAATTTAAGGTGGTGGTTCTAGTTGCAGACACCCTTTTGTTTTTTGCTGACCTTCTTGGTGGTTTACTGTGAACACGATTGTGGTCTCCCCGCCAAAGAGAATTCTATTCACGCTCCAGATTCTTTTTTCTTTTCTGCACCAGGACAGGATTCAGATCACAGAGAGTGGCAAGTTCCACATCAGCCAGGAAGGCACTTTATCCATCCGAGATTTGGGACTGGCAGACCAAGGAAGATACGAATGTACAGCCAGGAGTAGCTCTGGGTTTATAACCAGTGCCATGCAGCTAACCATCATCGGTAAGAGAAACAGAGACATTCTTCGTTCAGAATGGATTTTATTTCATTTTTGCATAGAATGGAAGGTAGGAAGGAGACTTCTAACATTCTGCCAGGGAGACAGTGTCAAAATGTTAAGAAGGTGGGCAACAATGGAACTGAAGTCCCGGCTTTTTTTTACACATGTTGTAAATGATGTGCATAAAAAGAGGAGGGGCTTTGATTGTACGATTGTGGCTGCCATCTTGACTTTTTTGACCCCCATGGCAAATCTGCTCCCTACCCAATACTCTGCCTCCTTCGTATCATCCCAGACAGGTGTCTGTCCTCCTCTTCTCTCCTTCTACCTTTTTAACTTAATACTCTGCTTTATGCTGACTTAATCTACTGTGTGTTATAATCATGCATTGTACACCACTTGCACATTTGTAATAATGGGAAGCATTAAAATGGCAGCTATTTTTAAGAGACCCGGCAGCTATATCTAAGGATGCAGGTTGAAATTTCCAGGCTAAATAAAGGTAGAATACAGGTAAGTCCTTGACTTACAACTGTTCATTTAGTGACCATTTGAGGTTACAACGGCACTGAAAAAAGTGACATGACAGTTTTTGACAATTATGACTGTTGCAGCATCCCCAGGGTCATGTGATTTACATTCAGATGCTTGGCAACTGGCTCATATTTATGACGATTGCAGTGTCCCAGGGTCATGTGATCCCCTTTTGCGACCTTGTGACAAGCAAAGTCCAGATTCACTTAACAACTGTGTTACTCACTTAACCACTGCAGTGATTCACTTAACAACTGTGGCAAGAAAGGTCGTAAAATGGAGCAAAGGTCACTTAACTCTCTCACTTAGCAACAGAACTTTTGGGCTCAATTGTGGTCGCAACTTGAGGATTGCCTGTATGTTAATTCTGAAATAAACAGCATTTGCTGAGTCTTCCTTCCTTCCTTCCTTCCTTCCTTCCTTCCTTCCTTCCTTCCTTCCTTCCTTCCTTCCTTCCTTCCTTCCTTTCTTTCTTTCTTTTTCCTTTATTTCTCTTTCTTTCTTTCTTTCTTTCTTTCTTTCTTTCTTTCTTTCTTTCTTTCTTTCTTTCTTTCCTTATTTATTAATTAATTGATTTATATGCCACTGATCTCATTCTGAAAAATGACAGTGGGTGGCTGATGAGGATCAAATCCATCTGACCAAACAAGTGACACAAAATGTTGATGTTGCCAGCAGGTCTGAAAGAGGCAAAAATCATGGCATGACAACACAACTGCATGATTCTGCTTTTGTTAGTTTGACAAAAGAACAACACAGGCTGTGGATACCCATGTCTGAAATGCAGGTGCTGAAGGAAATTGATGCATATGCTTTGGTGCTACAAAAGTATATTGGTGCAAATGCTTTTAAAGAATAAGTAGAGGTAGCAACCCGAATTTGGATTGCTAACTTTGTTGCTAAGCAAAGTTGCTAACTTTGTGCAGTCGCTAAGCAGAAAACCAGATGGCCACAACAGATTTATGACAGCATTTCCCATTCAGTCAGAATAACAGAATAATAGAGTTGGAAGGGAACTTGGAGGTCTTCTAGTCCAGAGCTTTTCAACCAGTGGTACGGGTACCACCTGTGGTACATTGGTACCTGGCAGGTGGTACGCGACCATCCTAGAAAAGTGGTAGCGGGGGAGGGGAATGAGCTGAACCGGTGGCAGCACCGCACAAGCCTGAGCGAGAGACGGCTGGAGCTGCAGGGCTGTCAGGGCTCAATGGAAGAACCAGGATCAATGCCAGGCTCCAGCTGGAGCTCAGCACTGATCCTGGTGCTTCTTATGAGCCCAGAAGAAGCGCCGATCAGCTGGAATGTTGCAGCATCTCCAGGATCTTATGATTTACATTCAAATGCTTGGCAACTGATTCATATCTATGACGGTCACAGTGTCTCAGGGTCTTGTGAAGTGACCCAAACCTGCTGCAACCACCCAGCAGATGGGGGGAATAAAAACCAAACACCCCCCCCACCCCACCCCCACTGCCAATCCTCAACAGAAACAAAACAATGAAAACCTCGGACAGAAGGAAGAGCGCCGCCGGGTGGGCAGGCAGGTGTTTTGCTCGGCTGTGGCTTGGGGGGCACTTTTTTCAGTGCCACTGCAACTTCAAACAGTCACTAAGCAAACTGTTGTAAGACGAGGACTACCTGTACTTTATCATTTTTTTCCTTTTTTTTTTTTTTTTGGTCATCAAGTTTTTGACACCTTGCTAGGCGACTAGTGGTCCTCGGATGTTGCCATATCCTAAAAGTGGTACAATGGGTGAAAAGGTTGAAAAGCCCTGATCTAGTCCAACCCCCTGTTCAAGCAGGAAACCCTATACCAGGGGTAGGTAACCTTGGCTCTTTTATGATTCATGGACTTCAACTCCCAGAATTCCTGAGCCAGCCACGCTGAGGGAAAAGGGAGAGATTTCCAAGCTGAGCCATGCTGGCTGAGGAATTCTGGGAGTTGAAGTCCACGAGTCATAAAAGAGCCAAAGTTGCCCACCCCTGCCCTATACCATTTCAGACAGATGGTTGTCCAATCTCTTCTTTAAAACCTCCAGTGATGGAGCACCCACAGCTTCTGGAGGCAGGTTGTTCCACTGGTTAATTGTTCTAACTGTCAGGAAATTTCTCCTTAATTCTCTCTTTGATTACTTTCCTTCCATTGCTTCTTGTCCTGCCTTCAGGTCCTTTGGAAAATAAGTTGACCTCCTCCTCTTTATGGTAGCCCCTCAAATATTGGAAGACTACTATCATGACTCCCTTAGTCCTTCTTTTCATGAAACTTGACATTTCCAATTCCTGCAACCGTTCTTTATTTGTTTTAGCCTAATCATCTTTGTTGCTCTTCTCTGCACACTTACTAGAGTCTCAACATCTTTAAGTGAGTCCCTGAAGTCATTGTGAAAGATCACGTGAACACAAATTACAGTTTTACTGTAATTGTCATCATTTTACTGTAATGCTGCGTTGGCTGTAAATGCAAGAATTGGTTGCAAAGTTGATTTTATTCAACTGTTGTATCTTAAGAAGACAGAACTCTTGGAATAGCTCTTCCAACAGGAATCCTTTATTAAGAGAAAATGGTTGCAGGCATGCTAGACAGGACTTGGGGTTCAAGCTCTCCCATTCAAGGTTTTAAGGTGTTCCCCAGTAGTCCCACCCAATCAACCCCCCTTCCAGTGATAGTTTCAAGTATCACAATTCCATCCCCTTTCTTCTTCCGTCTGGATGGAGAATCAGATAACTACATGAAGGCAATTAATCTTCTTGATATGTTAAAGCTATAAGGCCAAAATAAACACACATTCAGTCATTTGAAGTGGTGCTGAAGGAAGTGAGGGACAAGATCTAAAGCACCTTTGATCATTCACACTTTTTATACATATTATGGGCAGAATCCAGAGAAGGCAGCAGAATCAGGAAATTGGAGTTTCTATGTTTGATAATTAAAGCTGAAATATAATTGGATTCTGACATCCGGCCCCTCTTAACAATAAGAGAGATCCACCTGAAAGAAAACACAAGTAAAAAATTTAGTTAGGCTTGTTAGGATACTCTGTGTGAAACTTCTTCAATAGCTTCGGGGCTCTGAAGTGACGTTTATGGACCCACTCATTTTGTGAGGCAGGGAGGTGTTTCCAGGCAACTAGGTACTGAGTTGTTCCACGATATCTCCTAGAGTCAAGGTCTCTTTATTCTCGAAGTGGTTGTTCCACATCCACAATGAGTGGAGGTGGTTGGGGGGGGAATTTTTGGCCCGTAGAGGTGGACTGAGCTCTCTTTTCGGCAAGCTTGCAATTGAAAAATTGTCGGTATTTGCCTGAGATTTTTTGGTAATTCTAATTCTACTGGTACTGGGTTTATGATTCTTTTAATTGGAAAAGGGCCTATATATTTTGGTCCAAGTCTTTTACAAGGCTGTAGGGACTTTAGTTATTTTGTAGATAAGTACACCATTTCTCCTATAATGAATGGTGTAGGCTCAACCCTTTTTTTATCGGCTTGTGCTTGGTATGCCCGCCTAGCTTCATCTAGTGATTTTCTGACTATTGGCCAGGTGTTTTGTAGGTTTTCCATCCATTCTTTCAGTGAAGGGATCGTTGGTTCTTTTGGGGTTAACTCTGGCATAGGGGTTGGATGAAAACTTTGGCAGTTGGCTATTTGAAAAGGAAGTGTAGCCGGTGCTGGAGTGGGACTGCATTATTGTCAGGAACTTTCTGCAAAAGGAAGTCAAGTCCGTCAATCACTCGTTGGAATTTAAAAAAAACATCTCCAATATTGATCATAGTACCGGACTGTGCAGGTTCCGCTTGTCCATCTCCTTGAGGGTGGTGGCTAGATGTCAATCCCTGAGTGGTCCCTAAGAGGGATAAAAATTCCTTCCAACATGCAGACGTAACTTGCACTCCCCTATCAGAGATGATGCGTTGGGGTGCCCCGTGCAATCTGTAAATGTGCTGGATGAAAAGTTTTGCTAAGGCCTTTGCAGTGGGAATTTTTTTGGCAAGGGATAAAGTGCACCTGTTTGGAAAATAGGTCCGTGACTGTCCAGATAACAGTATTCCCATTGCTTTCAGGCACTTCCACTATACAAATTCCATGGCTATTTCCATCCAGGGGGCGGACAGGGAACTTGCCACTGGTTTGGTAACAGCCCCCCCTGTGGCGATTTCCCTTGGCAACCTCCTTTGCTATGCACAGGTTTGGGCAGCTTGGCAACATAACTTTCTATGTCCTTTTTTATTGATGGCCACCAAAATTGCCGTTTAATTAAGTGTAAAGTTTTTACAAATCCAAAATGCCCTGCTGATTTGTGTCATGGCAAAGTTGCATGAAAGTTAGTCTTTGAGTTGTTGGTATATATAACTTTTCCCCTACCCAAGGCAATCCGTCTCTCATTGTGCACACATGTTTGTTTTTCTGGAACCATTCATCTTTTTCCAAACTTTTTCTGAATTCAATCACAGTTTGGCTGTCCAGTATTGTG